CAGCCTCGGTGATCACGCCGGGAGTGAATTGGTGCGATTACACGGACAGTTATCTGCGAGGCTCTCAAGTCACGCGGAACTACTGGAGCGGCTCAAGTCACGGAAACGGTCCAAACCGTAGCACAGAACGGCATAGAGATCGTTGACTAACACCGTCTGACAGACGGACAGATCTCGACTGGGTTACGGAACAGTTCCTCTTGGCAGGATAGTGGTTATTAAAGTACTACGTGATTTTGAATAAACCGTTTGTTTTAGTGTATTTCCATAAAAAAATTCAATGGTATTCAATTTATTTGAGAATTGGTATGAAGACCTATTAATTATTAATTGGCTCAGGGTCTATGTCAACCAAAACTTAGGTACTTTGGTATTATACCGATAACACTTAAATTTGTTAACCTTAGTTAAATTTAGGTTATGGTAGGTTAGGTAAGGTTTTCTTCCAGTTATCTTATCCTATCCTAATCTAATCTAGGTGTGGTAACCTAACACAATTTAGGTGTGGTTGGTATAATACCAAAGTACCGAAAATTAGTATGATTCAATGTGAGGATAGGCGAATCAATAGCCTTTTATGTACCGTTTTAATTCATTATTTTCGTGTCAATATATGTTTAATTAATTTTTATTGGCCTGTAGTGACAGAAAACTGAAGGAATTTTTTTTTGTGAATAATTCAAAGAAGGTGTTTATTAGTGTTTACACATTTCCAAACTTACCTTGTTAATGATAATTTATTTTTGTAAAAAAATACAACCGACTTCAAACGCTCTAAAAAGAATGAAATAATTTCAATAAAGTAAACTTTTGTATTAGGCATGCTCACGTATTTTAAGTCGGCGCGGCTCTATGATGATTTTTGATACAAAATTGAAAGAGGGTGTCCATATTGCAGGTGACTATCTATAACTAAAGGTGTTAATCTGCATGTCTTTTTCATAGTTATGCGTTAAGTGTTATTTTATTACCGTAATCAGAGATCGGCATTAGAGTGGTATTAACGATTATCTTTAAAAATCGTATAACGCATTTAAATGTTTTTTAATTTGAATAGTAACGTTTTAATACTAAACTAGCTTCTTTTCCCTATCATAATATCAAACTAAATTATTTTCCTATTCATATAGAACATTTGTGTGTGTTATTTTCATAATGCATTTATTCTGAAGTAGGCCTAAACATAAAATACAAGAAGATATTTCCTTTAATATATAAACAAAACAGTTCAGTATGTTTTTTTTATATATTTATGTTAAGTTATCCAGCTACTATTTATTAATTTTCAAAATACACACACAATATTTAGTTTCAATCATATTTGCAGTTTAAGCCGCACCGACTTGAAATACGTGAGCATGCCTAATACAAAAGTTGACTTTATTGAAATTATTTCATTCTTTTTAGAGCGTTTGAAGTCGGTTGTATTTTTTTACAAAAATAAATTATTTCATGATTTTTAGTGACTGTATAAGTTTTTATATATTAAATACTTGAGGATTTTTTATAAGCAAAACTGTTTGACACAATCAAAAGTTCCACAGAACAATCATTATTTTAAAACTGCTTGAGTCACCTGTTCAGGTTACATAATCAATGGGTATGAAAATAAACATTTTTAGATATTCCTTAAGAAGGAAAGAGTTGTCCATTACATTAGGCCTAATGAAAAACTAATTGTCTTTTCTAGATACATTGACATGTCAGACATCATCGTTTCCTGCAATCGGTGTACTTCTACATTATAAAAAGAAATACAGTAACGTCTCAAGCCTTATAGAATGAAAGTTATTCCTCAGCTACCAGCACTAAAAAATCCCTCAAAAGTGGAAAATTGGTCGTTAACACGTATAGTACCTTTGGAAAATATTATATAAAAGATTGGTTCAGCTTAAAGTGGTGTAAGTCATGTAGGCTACATAAGGGAAGCAATTAAGGTGTACATTGTTGGGGGTTTTGTTTGCTCAAGATATATATATCATCTTCCTCTAGGACTTTCCAAAGCAGGCATAATAGTATTGATATGATATAGTAACTGGGTAGAGAATATTAATAAACATTCCACATCTGCAAATGAAATATGTATATGAAAGATTGGTTCAGCTAAAAGTGGTGCAAGCCATGTAGGTGGTTTTGTTTGATCAAGATATAGCCTAGTCGAAATTGCAAATCATCTTCCCCTAGGACTTTCCGAATCAGGCATAATAGTATTGATATGATATAGGCCTAGTAACTGGGTAGAGAATACCAATAAACATTCCACATCTGCAAATGCATGTTTAGTAATTAAAATATTTATCACTTTTAAGACAATTGACGATTATGCACTGTCACACTTCTTCGGTCGTGTAAGGAATAATTGCATTTAATTTATATTTAGACCTGTTTTACGAATGCTTTGGTTTTCACAATACACCTTTATTTGTCAATATCATACAGCTATTCACTGAAACATATATGTTTTTGTAAGTCAGAATATTCAATACTAATAACAGAATTACTGTATACACAAATCAGGTCAAACGTTAAAATACATTTTTTATAGTAACCAAAACAAAATGCATTTTTCTCAATGTAATTCAAAGGCTCCATGGCAAGAAATAGTTTATTGATCAGTGAAGCAACTGTTTTATGAAGAATTGTCTGTAGCTTCATTTAAATGGTTTCAACTAACAGCTGTAAGAATGTTATTATTATTTATTGCCTTCTCTGCACAAATGTAAACAAAACAAATGTTGAATATTTAAGGTTTTCAGAATATTTCACCGAAACAAATATTATACTTAAACATAATATATAAGGTACCAAATAGAAATTCTCCTGGTTATTTTGGTGGTGGAACCACACTGATCGGTAAAAGAATCACAGAGAAATTGGTGAACATACATAGAAAAAAAAAACATCGCCACAAACAAATTGAGAACCTCCTCCTTTGTTGGTAGTGGGGAAGTCGGTTAAAAATACATGTTTCCTCCTTGCCAAGAATATTCTCATGCAACTTAAACTGTTGATATACTACTGGGAAATGGGTATTTCATTTTTACTAGCCAGTTTAGAAGAGAAAGAGTTTCATTTGAGCCTCTGTAGAATGCAGCAAACTACTAGCTGTAAAACACAGTTCCCATTCCAATACAGCTGGATTTTGGTGTTTTTTACTACACTAAACTTTAAAACCATTTTTACTTTAAACTTCATACCTAATGTCCCCAACAACAATTATAGTCTGCAACAAAAACACAAGAGAACGCACTCTAATCAATGTTATCTTTTAGCAAATAAGCTGATATAGCTAGTTCGCGTGGTGGAAGGAAAATACATAGGTGTGCTACTCCCATCATATTCTGACGTCACTCAGATTGCAAACAAAAGATTACCCGATTGTAAGTGTTAATTAGTATTTGTTTTGATTTGGTTGCTATTGTATTTAAAATGAACACATTCAACTATTTTGAAAACATTATAAAAACAATAACAATCAAATCAAAACAAATACATACTAATTTGACAGTTACAATCAGGTAATCTTTTGTTAGCAATCTGAGTGACGTCAGAATATGACGGGAATAGCACACCTATGTATTTTCCTTCAACCATAGCTAGTTTGTATAGATTGGATGTTTTCTCCGTCATCCAAAGTCAATGATGTAACTTAATTCAGTATAATATAGTTCACCCCTCGAGTGAAAGTGGGTCTACATTGTGCATTTCGTGCACGACTAATGCAATGTCCACGAACTGTCGCTCGCTCGGCACGACATTCAACTAATGATCCTTGAAGAACAGGCAGGTGCCTACATTTATATTTTCATAACATTTCACGAAATTTAAACCATAACAACTCATTCTACGTTTCATTCTCATCAAAATTGAAGTGTAAGTGTCTCTAGTGTGCTGACAAGCCCCTTTCAATTGGGGGAGCGAGCTGGCGTAGTGGTTAGAGCGCGGGACTTCAGTCCCTGAGGTCCTGGGTTCGATCCCCGCCAAGTCACCTATGGATTTTATCTAAGTGATAATGCCGCAACCACTAGATCTAACATTAAGTAATGTGAAAAACGATCCCAGGCTCGTGCCTAGCGTCCTAGGACAAAAAAAGTCCCTTTCAATTAATACTAGGTAAAGGTCCTAAATTCTTCATAGAAGAACATCGATTGGGCATACAAGGGAGTATGCTTAATCTATGATTACAGCCTCTTTCACTTGCTGCAGATGTTTGCCTTTTAAAATTAAATGGTATTTTTTTCTTGCAACTTTTATTGGTATTACAAATTTTCTCTATTCACCAATTTATCTTGCAAAGCAGATTTGTGATCCTTCCTTTCTTCTATTCTTATACAATTTTAGTTCATATCCGGAATAAAACTAGGATTGTTTTGAATAGTCTATGAGTGTTTTCGTACATACTGTTACACCTAAGGAGAAATAGTTAATATTTCAAAAATTAAAAGAATTTGTATTACAATCTCGGCTAAAAACAAATTATCTTAGTCATTAAAAAAGCTACACAAGACATCACACTCAATCACACTCATCCCAAAATCATATTTAATTAATATTTTGGTTGATTAAACCCTATAACTTACATACCCAGTCCGAAAAACAGTGATATTAGACAATGAGTGTGGATTGGAGTTAAGTGCCTTGAGTTGCTATGTTACTAGCTTTTTCAGCAACAAAATTTATGACAAGCACTTTGGATTTTCTTCAGCTATGATTCTTATTCGACCCACATAGATGATGTGGCAGATAGCACTGCAATCTGTGAAAGACATCAACGCGCGGTAGTCATGAAGTCGCATGGTTTACAGACTTTGGGAAACGGGGCACAAAATCACGCATACAGTTGTACATAGATTTGCAGATCTTCTCACAACTCTAGTTATCTTTCACCATAACCACTGTTTTGTGTTCTCATACTTAGCAAGACTCATATTTATATTTCTCACACATTTCTCTTAAACAGTCTGTTAAGTGAATTTTAAACTGAATGTTTTCTGTTGCAGACATCCAAGTTTACAGACTGTTTCCGGGTATGTTGTTTGTTTGTCTGTTTGCTTATTCGCTTTCTTAACAATTGATTCGATAATTTCAACTAAAAATGTTTACACTAACTTTTATTTAGTACAACAGTTACACAAATTATATAATTAATTAATAACACTTTATTTAATACAAACTTTGAATTGCAATTTTCAATCAGTTCAATTTTGTATTTTTGTACAATAATAATGACAGTAAAAATGTTTATTTGAATCTTATCGTTCATTATAAAAGTTGGGTATTATAATCAAACTACCTAACAAAAACGTATTGCTACTAATAAAATTGCTTTAAGGCCACCCTAATGTTTATATACTTATAAATTGCTATAATGCTGCTATTTATTTACCTTGATAACAAAAAACTATACATAGTATAGTTTAGTATAGTATAGTAAAGTGAACAAAATCTAAAACAAAATACCTTCTATTGCAAAGGATTTAGTCATAGGCCTGTGCGTGGACTCGATTTGCGATAATTATTAATTAAAATGGGAAGTCGAAAAAATGTATAAGAAAATTTTACAAAAAAATAATTCGTTAAGTGTTCATAGGTGTTCATATATTAGTCTAAACATATCCTTTAATGCGTACGTATTTGTAAAGTTAATATATTCCATTACGCTAATGTCTACATTTTACTGCAGCACCTTAATCAAAAGAGTACACATATAAATTGGCATTTTAGATGTTTTATTGGTCGGTAAATTTGTATAATTTTCATAGCCTTCATCTCCTTGTCTGTGACGCACTAAAATAAATATTGATGTAATATTTATGTACAGTGTAATTTGTTATTTAGCTTACAATGCTAGTAAAAAATAAAATATCGCGTTACCTCAATCCCTATATTTAAGACAATGTCATATTTAACTTCAATGTGAATAGAGGGTGAGTAAAGAATATAATTAGATGACCACTGAGCTACAACTAAAATACAACTGGAGGTAGCACTGACTCTGCTGGAAAATCGAGACGCTGTAATTTTGTTAGGTTTGTACCAATTAGGAGAATTAGCTCATTGGCTTAAAATGTATCAAGTTTAGTACTATGTACTTTATCCCCTAGTAAACCAACGTGGTCTCGCAATTCTCTCATCGATTTAATAAGCCTAATCTTCAAAAACAGTTTTGCATAGCTTCAAATTAACAATGGTCTATTGATAAAGCTTCTTATCTAAACCATGTTTAATTTATTTTCTTCCTAACCCCACACCAAAGTTTCTTCATCCACTCGTGACATTGAGGCTAACAATTCCACTTCTTCAGCCAGAACCTACTTGCTAAACTAACCTGTGGACCGAGACTCCCAACGTTTCTTTTACCTACTTGTTTAAAACTATCAGACAGCCGTGAAATCAAACCTTTTTGGGCCGTTGTTTTCGCTGATCGGATAATCTTGATTGTCTGAAGAAACCTGGTAATTTACACGGAACTAGATCATGACCTGATCGAATTTACATGAAACCAGTTCAAGCCATGAACGATCTGGCTATGACCGATCACGCTTCAATTATGCATGCTTAATGTCATTGGTAGTTTCTTGCATACGATGACCCCTGCAGTTTATATTGCACTCGAAGACTGTTGAAATGGCATTTCAATCTATGCTAATTCAACAACACGTAAACTTGGATGATTCTAAGATGTTAATTGTCTGTGAAGCGGATAGTGGTCACCTTCAATTCTGAATGCCACTGGTTTCATTCAGAGCGGAATTGGATCCAGGGCCAGATGGTGTTGTAATATAATTATACAATAATATAACTATGCTACCCATCAAATTTAGACATAAAATTGTAAAAATACTGAGGTTTAACCGTTGTTTAAGCTACCATAGTTTGAGTATGTTAAACGCGTAATACAGTACACCAATTAAAACATTGAAAGCACGTGTTTTTATAGTTGCAACTGGAAATTAGAAAGACGGAGATTTTTTTATTGTGTGAAACAGTGTCAAATATTGCTTAGCGAAACTATGATTGTGTATATTCATTCCCACAGGCTGCAAGAAAGATTAGAGGAAGTTAATTTGTTTTAAAACTTTACTATGTGTAAAGATATTTTGTTATTTATTGATATTTTGTTACTTGACTAATAAAATATCTTAATCTATAATATATTATAACACAAAGTTATTCTACGAAAATTTAAACCGAACAGTGTAAAAGATAGAAGCTCTACATCGCTTTAGGCAAAACAATGAAAACTTAAAAAAATCACAAAAGTTTTATTTTTACACTGTGGTTAGTGTCCATAATTTTTTCATCTGCTTTCGTTTTAAATATTTCAGTACATATTTAAAACAAGCTTAAAAACAGTACAAACAAGCTTTTACTAAACATTCTACATTAAAATGCCAATCGTGTTACACTTAAGGAAGCTGGAACCAGTTGGCATTTGTTCCACATCAAGTGGTTTGATGGACGAGCCACGGTTACTGTTGTGGAGCAATAACTCCACTCGGGGTGGAGCAGTTTGGAACCGGTTCCAGAGAAAGTTGCAACTGCAGCTTGAATCCGCGACTTTCTGATCGTATCTGCCGAGTGCTGCTCTACTCCCCCTTACATAACCTGTTGACGACTTCCTAGAGTGACATGGTGTCCTTAGTTGGTGTCAGGTTACGACGATGTGAAGCTGTTGGTGGGACAGTAAAAGAAAGTTGATACCGTCAAGTTGATGGATGAGATAAGATTGGTGTTATTGGCAGAAGAAGGCTGGAAAGTTAGGTTAGGTCATGTTTAAAAAAGTTTATGCAATTACAATTGCATACTGTCCGAAATCCCTAATCGATGAGAAATACATTTGTAGTAAGTTCGAGCTAGTTCAAAGTACCCATTGCATTTTCTTAGATTAAAAAATATTAGTTCAATTTTTGGAGGCGGTGGTGAGCTGGTCTAGTGGTAGAGCCATATAACTGGTCTATGGTAGTGTCTATAGTAATTCTTCGGTCCCTGAGGTCCTGGGTTCAAATTACCATTGGATTTTATCTAAATGGGGATTCCTCATCCTAGGTCTAGCCTGAAGTGATGTTAAAAACCATCCGTGTCTAGCGTCCTAGGACAAAATGTTATCTTATGTGAACCTACCATCCTCACCCTGTCCTTATGTTGTCTTAGATTGCCTTAAATAATTGAACCCAATCTGAAAATCTGAATCACTTCTGGACTTTAAACTTCTAAACTTAACAGAACATGTTTTATATTATTCATTTTCATTTTGAAAGGAGGTAGGTAAGTAAAATATTACTATATTTATTGTAACGAAATGACTAAATTGTTCAACTACTTTCATTCTGGCATACATCTACAACCAGTTTCGGGATCAAATGAATATTTAAGCTCTTTAAATATAACATACGGGAACCCCTCTACTTCCAATGGGTATATCTACTTATTACAAGGATCAGCAACTTATAATAGCGTGACCTTACTTTCATTGTTTCTATAGTGGTATATTAATAATGTACATATTTTAATGGGTCGCTCTTTTATAAATAGAACCCGGTAGTTTTTGTTAGGTAAGTGCATATTACATTTACAACTGCGGCGTCATATATTTTATTAGTAAGTGATTTCAGTAAATTCTTTCGTGTGGAAATCGGAATTTTTTACACAATCAAATCTTAATTAGAATATTGTAATATTTTGTATTACATTATTTTGTAATAATCTTGTAATGATTGTAATATTAAATTGATAAAAAAAACCACGATCAAGGCATTGTGGTTAGATTCACAGTGTTAATCTTGAAGTGACTTTGCCCCTCCATTAGGTAAATTACTGGCTTTGCTAATTGATGAGTAAAAAGAGTAATTTCAAACAAACAACCTCTAGTCTCTGCTCAAGCTATTTTTAGGAATTTATTGATGTGTTAGGTCTACAGTAGACCTAAAATGTTTAGATGTCGATTAAAGTTTTCCCTCTCATTTAATGATAAATTTTATAACATGTAATTTATCTTTTGACATAATTGCAGACAATAAGCAATATTTTACAATACAATTTCTTAAATAATAATACAAATAATATAGAAAGAAATTAAAGAATAATAATATAGATATAACATCATTTTATTTTGTAAAAAAAAGTTTAAAACCCCACTTTACACTCTTTATTTACTTAATAGATACAGAAGGTCTGATGAAATTGACAAATCAATTAGTAAACATGTTTTATCATTGAATTCGAATCTTTTAATTTAGTATTCCTATAATATAGTAATATATTAAAGCCCACATTATGTGTTTCATGTTAGGGACGTTTGAATGCGTTGATATTGAATTATCTTTCTCGAATCTTAGGGTATTAAGATTTAATCATTTAAGGTTTGCTCTTGGTTTATAATTTCAGAGAAAAAACAAGCATTTATAACTTATTGCTCTCTTCGATTGAGATAAAATAATTTTATCCAATAAAATAACAAGAAACAAAACACACAAGCAACGTATTCGTAGAGCAAGATCATTTAAAAAAGTCTTTGGATGACCTATAATGATAAAGAAATATAAGCCTTGTGTTTAACCTAGGACAACACTGAACTATTTTTGTAATCGTTTTAACCATTTTTTAACTCATCTGTCAAGATAGCTCGTGACATCTCATTGATTTGTAAAGAGCATTCTTATATAGAAGGGTGTGGAGAATTGAACAATTGCCTCAAAAAAACTAGACATGCTAGTTGAAAGATGAAGACATGACGGTCTTCACGGACATTTCTGGCACACGACTGTCGTACTCGTCAAATTACTACAACGGGACTCGGATTACCTCACGAAACTCTGTTTATTAAATGTAATTTTAGAAAGAAAGCTCGGAGACGGATCTACGGTGCTTTCGAGTAGGTAGTTAGGAATTGTGACATCTTAGTCATCATTGAAGTTTGATGGAGTTCCTCAATCACTGAAACCATTACTTATAAGTTATGGAGTGTCCTAAATGATTTTTGAATGATTTTTTTCAATTATTTCATCTTTATTAATATAATCTACGA